TAGTTTTTATCCTTATATTATGTTATTTAGACAGGACCCCTTTGATAACAGTACTCTTGCACTGAAGGGCTATCCTGTATAAATATTCGTTATTATTATGATTATTATGATTATTATTATTATGATTATTATTATTATTATTATTATTATTATTATTATTATTATTAAAAATGTGCAGAAAGGTCTGCAGCTATTGGTGTGCTGATTACACCTCTCCCTACTTCCGGTCAGCAGCTTCTACATATTCGACTGGAGTCGCCTTCAACGTCAATGGCGCTAGGCCGCTAAGCAGTCGTCTGATCAGCGTAGGGTTAAGATGAATGGCGCTGCTCGTGTTATGAACTGCTCAGTGTATTTATAGAGGGATTTTCACTTGAATGTCGAAAAGTAGTTGGTTTTGCATTACAACGCTACACGATCTGACGATTGGTTTAGAAACTAGAACTCGCGCCACTCTGTCATCCAAAACCAATCATGAATCTTCGAGTTTTGATTTGTTCACTAAATTGTCTACGTCTTTCTGATTGGCTAGCTACTTTGATTTGATTTTACGACACGCCTACCAGAGCGGTTTTCAATTGATTGAAAAAGCGCATGTTCTTCGGAGTTGTAAGGTTATCACACAGGCTCAGACACTAAGCAGTAATCTGATCAGCCTGGGTTAATAAACTATTTTAAAAAGGGGACGTTGCTACGAGTGTTATATCAACTAGCATGGTTTTGCCTCATTAATACCCAAATAGAACTGTTACCATAGTTACCATACCGTTGTCTAGGAAACACCGTAAATGCAGTTACATTTTGGTTAAATGTTAAAACCGAAATAATTACAAAGGTAGATGGTAGAAATCGCTTTCCGACAAATTATTACTATACTGGGTCCAGTTCTGAAAAAGAAGAAAGATAAAACAGAATACAAAAATTTTACTTGTGCATGCATTAATTATGCACAGCTGTACATTCGCTCTTAGGCACGTTTAAAGGGCCGGGTTTGAGTGGTGTTTAGCCTCGTGGCTTGGCGGTTTAACTAATTTGAATGCGCACACAAAGCGGCGAAGCCGCGAAAACGATTCAATTTGAGCGGCGGCCTCGCTACTCGTTTTCGTGGCTTCGCCGCTTCGTCCGTGTGCTGACATTGCTTCAACCGCCAAGCTACGCAGGCTAAGCAGTGTTGCGCAAGGCCGAAAAAGTGTTAATCCACTCTATTGTCTCATCTTCTGGATTCTCACTCTAGAATTTCGGGTGATGCTACGCCGTGAGTCAGCGAACATCAGAAAGCAGAGTCCACTGCCAAGTTAGTCTATTGGGAGCTAGAGAGCTCTTTTTATATTACTATAGTACTGATTGTATGATGTTACAGGTACAGGCATTCTATAAAATTGCGCGCATCTCTAACAAAAACGTAATAAGCCATTTCCGGTTGCTTTTTCACTTCTTTTTCACAACCGTTACAAGTCCTGGGGCTCGTTTCTCGAAAGCCCCGGAAACTTTTCGGGCCCGGAAAACCATAGCAAAATCTCGAACCTTACGATTTCAGAGCTGTTTTATTCACATATTCTTAATATGAACAGAGGTTCCCTTCATACAAGAAGTTTCAGGCGTATACACTTCTCCGTTTTTAGATACAGATGAATTAAAAATGGCTTTACGGGCCCGAAAAGTTTCCGGGGCTTTCGAGAAACGGGCCCCTGGTGCGAAACTTTTCATACAGAAATGAATTTGATTAGTAAAACAATGAACGTGCAAGAAAAACTTATTTCAATATGAAAGGTTGTGCACCAAGACTCGTTTTGAAACAGAGGAAAGAGCAACTCGGAAATGAGTTAATTAAGCACATAAAACGGATCGAAGACGAAAGTGAACATTCTCTGGCATAAAAATCGCGGGAAAACGGTGAAAACGCCAGTGGCGAGAGCGTCTGCTCATGTATGTTTTCTGTCGAAACGACGTATAGTGACGTATACAGCTGTTTTGAGAAAGGTTGTCCCACAAAAGCAAGGCGCTTATATGCAGGGGCCTTTTTCCGCCCCGCACAAAAGTGAACAAAAGCGTACGCGACAATGTGGAAAGGTATTATGGGTGATGGTGATTTTTAACAGTTGCTTGATTGAAGCTCAAGGCTTTTTAGCGTGACAGAAGGAAACAGCAGAAACCAAGTGTATCTGGTGTATTCATGCTTCTTGTTGAAACACTGTGAACCTCAACCAAGCCACGCCAAACTATTACTACCCATAACATGATTAATCCAGTGTCTGCGTAAGGAAGTGCTTTTTAGAAACGAAGCAGCAGTTTGCTATTTACTTTAAACATGAAAATCATGATTAGTGTCGTTTAATGTCGCATCGTATGTATACGTTAACTGTCTCAGCATGTCTAAGCATTCAATATCGACAAGTTTCGATCACATGTACAAAATTAAATGTCATACCATGGCACTCAGCATGATTTCAGTGACGAAGATTTGCAAATTTGTTCGAAAATTATTTTTCCGCTGAAATGAAGTCCGAAATACTGCATGACATGTGTGTACACTCTCTTTTTCTATAAGAATATATTTTATATGAATGTCGAGGCTGAAATTTACGAAATTTTTAGAATAGTTTAACCCATTGACTCCTGTACCGGCCGTTACCGGCCGTGACGAGCCTTGGCCTTTCTTCCACTTCTGACGTCATCACCTTTGACCAAAATTGGCGTCATTCATGCTCAACTTCTTCAGGGGGAAAAGATCTTTCCAATGATACCCAGATCAGAGTGATCGGCCCAGTGGAGCCTGAGCCGAGATATGCACAAAAATGCTCAAAAAGTTGAGTGAAAAACTCAGAGCAAAATTCCCTGCCACTACACGTGGCTACTCCTTGGCAAAAATCGCCCGTCTCGATGATGCTTTCTCAGAATGTTTTAAACTGGAAGCAAGCCCAGTAGAAGGTCAATCACTGCAGCAAAAGGAAAAGAAAAGGAGAAAAAGGAAAGGCGAAAAAGNGGGAAAAAAAAAAAAAAAAAAAAAAAAGAAAGAAATCGAAAAGCCTAAAGACGTAGGTCACTTTCTCGTCTCATCTCAAAATTTTGATTTCTGCGCATGCCTGAGCAAAAATGTCGTAAAACGCGCTGCTAGTGGAAAGAAAGGCATGCTGTCGTGTTGCAAGTGCCCTTTTGAGTAGATCGGAGCTAATTTAGCCCATATCCAGCCTGAAAATCTCCAAAATGACCAAAAAATGCGTTTTTGGCAAAAAACTCAGAGTCAATGAGTTAAGAATAAACCTGATACGAGGCTCAGATTTTAAAAATAATATAATTTTGTGTGGTGAGAATTTATAAATACTGAACACAACTATATGTCTTTCACTAAATCGTATAAAATTCTCCCTTCTTCTAAACAGCAAAACTAGCCAAAATGCAACAAAAATTAACAGCACTAGCCGTATGCTCGATGCTAATAGCATTTCTACAAGAAGTTATGTGCGTCATGTCAGGCCTAATGCCTGCAGGCTGGCTGTAGAAGTGTTTTAACACAGATCCAGAAACCAAAGACATTTGAAAACAGAAATGTCATACGCTATGTTCTAAGACTATTCGCAAGAATATTTTAGCCTAAAATTGGCAGAAAATAAGAATATTCAGCCTCGGCCAGAAAAAGAATGTTCTTCTGAAAAAAGAGTGTAGTCCGAAATAGCATCAGTACACGCTACGTCATGCATGCAAGCGACGTTGCTAAATTTAGAAAATGACGTACAGTATGCAAATTTATCTCAACGTTGCCTTGCGCTCAACAGTGAAAGACACGGAGAGAATTTGATATCATACATCGAAAGTGGTCAATTCTCTGTACTTCTCGCTAGCTAGTCTTGAAGCCAGGTAGGTAACAAATTCAATAATAGTAACAATAATAACAAGTGAAAATAGTTGGTTTTAGCGCTACGTGAACTAGCTAAACTACTGAAGACTCTATCGCGTAGCCATGTTATTACGATAATAACTTGCGTAATAACTTGTTCTAACGGGCTGCTTGTTTTTTCATCGGCACCGTTGCATTTTAATACTCTCGTGTCATTATTTCTATACCTTTTACAGTGTTAGGTGATGTATGACACGCTTAAGGACCGTACGGTTAGAATCATTAGGATAATTCGCTGTTATTGCTTTGTCAGGAACACTGCACTTGACGTTTGATTAAATATTCCTATATTTGCAAAATCAACACAGCTAGCTACGTAGCTTGCATGCTGAAGCACTGAAAGGAAGTACAAGACAAAAGGAGAAAACATACTACAACAACGAGAAGTTAAACGAGCATAAACATTAACCACAATGAGTTACCCACCTGCCCCACCGCCGTACAATCCGAGCGCTCCTCCACCGCAAGGCGGCGGAGTTGGCTTCGAGCAGTATCAACAGGGAACCCCGTATCCCGCTCCACCACCGTATTCAAACCCGTACCCAGCACCGTACCCGCAGCATGGTCATCACCAACAACAGCACGGACATTATCCCNGTTTGGTCACGAGACGTTTAGCCCGGTCGTACAGACACTTCACAATACCGCGCTTTACTGATTGAGGGTGGTGTGAATCATACGCTAAGTACTGATCAGTATGTGGTGGTTTCCTGTAGACACTGGTGGTAGGCGGCCATCAGGTTCTCTATAAACTAACGTGTCGAGAAAGGTGATCTTGGTGTTATTCTCGATCTCCATGGTGAAACGGATTGATGGTTGTTGACTATTTAGGTGTTGCAGGAAGTCGTCAACTCTATCCCGATCCAGGATGGTGAAAGTATCATGTACGTAGCGCTTCCAGATCTTAGGCTTGCAAGGTGCGGACTCTATTGCTTGTTCTTCAAATATCTCCGTGTAGAGATTAGCAATAACCGCTGATACAGGGCTCCCCTTGGCTGCGCCGTCTCGTTGTTCGTAAATCGATCCGTTGTACTGGAAGTACGTGGATCTTAATACGAAATCCAAGAGGTCCGCGATTTGAACTGGTGTAAGTGTCGTGCGGTCAGGCGGGTTTGAAAAACCGGGATTACACGGACGTATATCACATAGACGGTTACCTGTGAGTCAGAGGGTGTTTTTTAATGCATTTCTAAACAAAATAGACTGAAAACAGCAAATTTACCCGGGATTTGATTAATAGGCATTTCCAAAGAGAAAGAATACTCCCAAGAAGTTTGAATAGGGCTTTAAAACCAAAATCTTCAAAAATGTCCATTTAAGGGTGTTCCCGGCTGACGGGCATATCGTCACTGCGCAACCTCGTTCCCAGGGTCTCTGATTTTTCCGCCCTCCTCTCTCCGGGAGAGCGATAAGATGAGAGACCCTGGGAACGAAGTTGGTCATTACGAACTTAATTTCTTCAATACCTTGTCCTCTTTTGACCGTTTCGACATTTTTTGTCCACTTGGAATTCGGCTCAGAGTAGATTCAAGCTGCAATAGCAAGTGGAAAAAAGAGGTGTAAGGTAACAAAAAATAGAAATCGTGCAAAGTCAAAAGAACTGCTAAAGTTTAATTTTCGTTAACAAATGTCCTCATCAATTGTTGACCGTCTCTTGAAGTTCCCTCCATTTGAACAGTGACTTCAGAAAACATTTTCTCATTATTTTCCTTGTGAAAGCTCACTTCTCAGAGACACAAAAAGTTAACAATCTTACCATGTACTGTGGAGGGGAAAAATTATAATGAGGTATTGTACTTCTAAAAGGAGCACAATTTCAAAATAATAGTTTACTAAGATAAAAAACACTAAAGAGGTATATAATAATAAACAATAAAGAAACAAGGATGGTTAAGGATGGAGAAGATTGACACGGATTACAAACTTCGCACTTCAAATATTTGGGCTAAACTTTTCAAGATGTGCAAACCGTGACGTAGCTCCTTAACAAAAAGCACTCGCAATCAGGCTCCTTTACCCATTTTCTTTCTTCATTGAGTATTGAAAGTTTCCTTTCCATGAGCAGGATACCGTGTTGATCAGTTTCCTCTTCCCTGTTCTTGTTGACCGGCTACAAAATAATTCCACACACAATATAATCAGGAACCCTTAACTCTAAAAACTCATTGAGGGCCTGCTAAACCCAGCCGCGTTTGTTAAGCCGTCTGAATTTCACTTCGACCGTACAATTTTTAAAGTAGCATCGTTAAGGAAAATGATCTTCCATCGATTATGTGAGAGCAGGGAAAGTTATAGTAACAGTAAGCAAGAAATTATTTGTCCTTTTGTGGAGGATTTTCACAGCATATTTCGTATTTTGTGTGAAGTCGTAGAGAAATTTGATGTCTTGGAGGGAAGGTATACGAAGCGGCTTCAGCAACGGGGACGGCAACCCCGAGGAAAACACCATGTAAAAAAATGAATTTGTATTTTACCTTCGAATTTCGCCATTATCTAGACCTGATCAGTGGGCCTGTCGGGCTCAAAACTTACTCAAGCCAAAAGCGTAATGCCAGCGGTCAGTTCCAAATGCAAATAGAATTTAAAGTTTAACTTTCATTAGTAGGATTACCTGACCACCTTTAGCACCGAAGTCCTTCTCAGCGACGTTGTACATTGCTGTGGATATTACCAAAGTAAAAAAGTTTCTTTTTTAGTCAGTATAAGCGTCATATCAGCGGCGCATTTGATTAACTCTGTAATTGCTTGAAAAAGAGACGTGCGCGCTCTATCCAATGAGAGTTAACACGCTGCTTTTTAAACCAATCAGAAGCAAACCAAAATCAACCGTGACCTAACGTGTGTTTCACCGTACTTCTCTCGCTAGACTGGTTACATGTTTTCCCGCGCTTGGCACTGGTTACGTGCTTTCCCGCACTTGGCCGGCACGGTCAGCTTTTTCCCGCTATTTGCATTGAACCATTGGTTACATGCGCTTGGCACTGACTGTCTGTCTTTGCCGTGCCAAATTCTCAATCGAAAAATGTTTTCTTTAACTTTTGCTTTTCAAAATTAAGTGAACCTCAGAACTGAATGATGGTTCCTGCTGTAATATAATGAGTACCAATATAAAAGCGACTAACCACTTTGTTTTGGCTTCGATTTTTTCGGTTCAGTTCGACTACTCTCCCAGTCATCTACAGCCAACAGCCTTCCATCTTTTCCGTCTCGCACTGCACTAAACGTTGAGTCACGAATACCACTAGCAGAGTCATCGTTTGCCGTTACAAAGCTCGCTTCTGTTTGTGCAGGTTCGCCGTAAAGGCGCCGTGTTCTTCCCGTGTGTGTACGGATCATCTCCTCACCAGACTTGCTGTCTTCGAACACGACATCAAACCTTCAAGATTAATCAAAGGCTCCTTTGAGCTACCTCATGGTATTATGTATCTATTTTTAGTGCTCTGGTTGGCCTCCTTCGGTTGCCCCTTGTAATGTGTTTCTGTGAAATTCCGCCTGTCCTACCCCCTCAATATTATTTGCACTGAAACCTAGGAGGGGAGGTGGTGGGAAACGCATTTGATCAATGGAGGTTTTGCACGGCAGCCATGTTGCATGGCAGGAACAAGGAAAATGTTTTGCATCAGAAAGAACATTTTTTCCCATAGGAAAAAGAATCTATTGTTCCCGCCATGCAACATGGCTGCCGTGCAAAACCTCTATTGTCTAACAGAATGGAGTGAGTGAGTGAATGAATTTGAGGTCCATTTCTAAACCTCATAACATGGCTTACGTCATACCATGAGGTACGAAGCAGTTGCATGCCAGATAAAGGGAATCCCAAACACCTGATTCGAATTTGCTACAACACAGAAAAAAAACCAAAAACTTATCGACAGGATTTTGACATCTGAGATGTAATGGGGTTGAAACTCATCAAATATCAGATGCCAGGGTCCTTTTGATTATAAACCCTTCATTGTAGAGCTTGGCTTTTATTTCATGTTGTTTAGAGTATTGCCATAAAGCGCTAACCAAGCCTCTCGATTGTCACTCCTTTATAGATCCTTATCTCAGCAGCTGCCCTAACTAGAGGCTAGGCCAGGTGCGGTGAAGCCAGGTTAGAGCAATTTTGATCTAGAAGTTGTTCATTAGAAGTTGTGATTTCCTTGGTTGGTTGGTTAGGCGGGGGGGGGGTGATCAGCAACGTAAAATAGCTCTTGTTTACATTTATTCCGCTTAGCGACTGTAGAACTTATTTCATATTTAATATCATTAAATTCAGAGATTTTGTTATGCCGTATTCTCGGTGTTTCTTGTAGACACGTCAAAACATTTCAAACGCAACATATCTTCCAAATTGAAACACAAAATCAACTGTTTAGGTAATTGGCTTTAGAACGAACGGCTTTTCAAATGACTTCTTTCAAATAAACTAACTTTATGGTTGATTTGGTTTCCATCTACTCAGCTCTATAATTTGTACAAAGAATTTCGGACCGCTTGTTCTATGGAATCAAACCAAAAGTTTTTCCTCTTTCTGGGTAAAAAGAATCGATCAAGCTGGCTCAGAAATTTTCTGTAAAACAAGAAATTTTCCACATTCTAACGTAACCTCATTTCTGATATTAATGAAAAGTTTGCTGTATATTTGCTATCTACCTGCTTTTATTTCACACAATTAATAAGGTCTTGATTATAAGGGCATGAAAAGTAATATCGTTAGAATCTTTCTTAATTTGCTTAGCTTACCTAAGTCAAACTGAACTGCGAAAAGGCTTAATTGCCTCACGCAAGCCTCACACAAAGCACAATGACTGTCCTTATGTTGATAGCTTTTGAGTCCTGCGATTTATTCCAATGACTCAGCAGCACCATTAAATACCAAATTAATTGATTAGTGATAGTTTGGTCCACTTCATTGATATACAAAATGGTCTCGAAAGGGAGCAGGGTATCTCTTCAGGGAACCCCCTTCCCCTATACGATAAACGTAAAGGGGCAATATGTCCTAACCTGGTCATGAGATCTGTTTTCTTAACAACCATTCCTGTTGGTGTGCTGTAAGTGCCTAGTTGGCCCTGGTCTGGGCTGCCCTTGGTCTCAAGAGTTTTTCCCTGGTTCCATTTCCCTTGACTGACTGGTGTTGAGGTCTTGGCAGCACTTCAACAGAGAAAAGTGAAACACACTTACTATGAGCTATGATCCTTGTTGTTACTATGACGTTTGATTAGTTGGGACACTTCGCTCATATTCGCACCAAATCCTCCCCCCTTAATTTTGAATAAAACCCTTTCTTGTGACAAGTTGTTCATAAAAGCAACGCCATCAAAATCACTACCAGCATTTACTAGTCTTAGCCATCTGTGGGTTTACGTTCTTTTACAAATTTAATTTGTTTGATAAAAGAACACCATGTTTTCAAACCAAGGCCAGACTAAGACTAAATTATGTTCTACTTTTCTGATGAATTAATTCTGTAAATGCACGATATGGAATTTCAGAGGTGTGCCATAAATGTGACCAGGAAATCAATGAAAGACATTACAAATCCATGTTGTTACTAAGTATGTTGGTAGACATCTTTTCATAATGAATTATGAAGTTTTGAGCAGTGCTATTTTCCAGATGATTTTCTGAGGGCAGGGCGTTCACCTTCTTTTTTTGCTTTCCCACGAGCATTTGACCCACTTATTTGTCCCCAACCCAGTGAATTTGGTATTCTTTTTTCTTTTTCTTTTTTTTAAGAAAAAAGCTAATGCCCTGGGGTTAGCTGGGGGTGGAGGGCAATGGGCACTACTGAAATTGACTGAGTGATGCCTTAGAGCTAGATCAAAAATGAAAAGAGAAAATACAAAATATCCAGTTTGGGTAAATTTCAGACAACCCAACCTCAATTTATACACGTTAACAAAGTTCCTGTAAAAAAGGTGTTTTGAATTTCTTTGAGGTACGGGGAGAAACTACCATTTTCTCACTCACGCTTGCATGATCATTAGCCATTCTGTGGTCAACTTACCCACTGGCTAACAAATCCTGTCTCCTTCCTGATGATGTCAATGCTTTTGTCACATCTGGTGCTCCTGGTGCGGCAGAAGACAACCACCTCCTGGGTGCAGCTAGTGTACTGTCAGGCTGTTGACAGCTTGCTACCTCAGAGCTCAGAGTGTCTCTCCCAGACTCCACCACCTTACAAGGCACAGACTGATATTGAGGCTGGTAACCTTGTTCTTTAACTGGAGTGGATTGGTCCCATGTTTTTCGACCAGTGAATGGCTTGTTTTTACTGGTGGGCTGTTCTGTACTGCTGTGTTTTTATCAAAAGTACAATGTATATCATAAAGATCAATTGTTATCAGCTTTAAAACACATACATACATATACATGGCAGTACACAAAATTAATTTTAAACACCACAACATTACAGTGCCCTAAAACCAAAACCACAGTAATCAACTTGGCCAATCACACAGGACACAGACAATCCAATGAACCAATCAAAACTCAAAGTAAATACAGGTAGCTGACGTGAAGCATGGGAAAATGTGGGCAAGTGTACTTCTGATTGGATGAAAAGTGGCACAAGTCACTTAGTCCAGTAATGAAAAACCAACGCTAATGCGAACAGGTTGCAATGCTGTTGAGTAAAAACCTCCCTATTTTTAAGGCGCAGTCTGTAATTTATAGATCTCCAAGTACATTTTGGCATTTTCAGTAACCGCACATTGGGTGGTGATTTTTAAAAGGAACTGTTTTCTGTAATCTATCTCTTGAAATGTGCAATTTGATTGCTGGTAATATTATGCATTTGATGCCAATTGCCAAACGTTTACTCAAACAGAAGAAGTTCATGGGTAACCTGAGAAATATAAGAGTGTGTGAAATAGAGCACTGATTATAGAGGGTGAGTCTAAACTAAGATGATGAACTTTGGGCCAGGTCTGAAAAAGAGTCAGTTAACATATTTTGGTCTGGAATAGAGTGCCGCACACCCTTGCTCAAATTTCCAGGAATGCCCTCTCCAAGAGGTAGAACCTTAGATCACGTATTCGTCAATGACAGCTCAATCATATCATCAGTATTTTTTGTATATTACTGCTGGTAAGATTCCTTGCTAATGCATAATACTGGCTCAAAATGTACTTGGAAGCAAAAAGATCACGCAAATTGAAGATACAGATCTACACTAACCTATTATCTTGGATGAGATCTTCTTTTGCAGACTGTTCTAAAATTTTATTTCTGGAAACAAGTTTAGAAATGGTCCTGCAGAAAAAAAAGAATTAAAGGGAAGACTATCAGCTATGATTTTACAGAGGCAGCAAGATCCTGTAGGTAACACCCTCCCTCTTGAAGGCTTACCCCTAGATCTGTCTACAAACTTTAAAATATTTTAGCCTAGAAGACCCCTTCTCCTTACAATTTTTCTATTTATAACTTCCTCCCTTACAAGAAATGTTACTTTAAATATAATTATATCATAGGCTCATTAATGCATTGTAGGCTCACTCTCTGAGGCTTGACATTTCACTTTGCGACAACTCAAGCTTATCATGTATAGCCTTGGAAGCTTTCTGCAAAAACAAATCAACAATATGTCACAAATCAACAAAAATTATCTACTATCTTAGCACTTGAGCTAAATGGCATTTGATACGGTGTATTTTTTTTTCCTCAACTGGCTTATTTACATGGCATGGCTGATCTCGGGAGATTAACTTGGGAATACCAAGAACAAAACCAAGGAGACCAGCAGATTTCAAATCCAGCACCTAATAGTGGAGCTCCGGCAGCCTGCCAAGCGGAGCCCCATACTCATATAGGAAAGAAAAGGAAACCCATGAGTTGATTTTCTCATGGTTATCACAGCTAGCAGTATTGCTCATGGGCACGTATGCACGACAGCGACGGCGACAACGACAGAGTCACACAACCTGGCGGCGATACTCCAAATAATAGGTTGACAGAGACATGCAGCCTTGGTTTACTGTGTAGGTACTTCTTTGATATTGGACATCCATGTTATGATCAATTGACACCTGTCAAAACAAGGTATCTGCTGACCNCTGTTTACAAAGCTGGTTTTTCAGTCAAGTAAACAATAATCTAACTACATGTATGTTCTAAAGATGGGCCGATGCCAAAAATCAGAATAGAATACTCTGTATAAAATTGACGCTATGCTAATAATAAAATCAAATCTCTCTCTAACTTACTTTTTGCTTTCCTCGAGAGCCTTTTGATACTGTGCAATCTGTGCCTCTAGCTTCTGATTATCTCCAACACAAGACTTGTATCTTTGTTCTAGAACTGATACTGACTCTTCTAATTGTTGGTTTCTAGCTGCAGTTTGCTGCTTAAGTTCCTCAAGCTGTTTACGAGCTGATAGAGCTTTCTCGCTACTCTCAGCAAATACCAGAACTTTAGCTTCAAGATCTTTGACATTTTCATGCAAATGAGATTTCTCACTTTCATTGGCGTTGGCTACCTGTTCCAGATATAGACAGCGCGCCTCAAAATCCTGGTTAATTTGTCTTAGCTGTCCGCAGTTGCTGTCAAGTTCATGATTTGCTTGTTCCAGCCTTGCTGATTTGTTTTTCATCTGCTCACAAACTTGTTCTAGAACATTACATCTAGCCTCTAATTTATGGTTGGCTGCTTCAAGCATTCTTACTGGTAGAGCATCTTGAAGGGCTTTTAGGCTACTTCCGACACTGCTGAGTTGTTCACAGATCTTTTCTACTTCAGTTTCAAAATAACTTGTTATATCCTTGAGTTGCCTACTGTGCTTCTCATTAAACTTTTGATGTCCACTAGAAATTACAAAACAGTTACATTGTCACCAGAAAAAGTAGACTTGAGCAATAAAGTATATTGTAATGTATAAGCAAAGCTCCCTGAAGATTACACCCACTTCTAGTGTTAAGTATATAGGAGACATCTTTAGACATGCCATCTTTCCACAAGCTAAGT